GGTATGTTCCCCTCAGAACTGAACCACTCTGTACTTCCTGTCTCTGCTGTCTATTTCCTACTGAATCTGAAATAAAACCCCATGCATTCTTTTCTAAACAGTCACTGAACATCCTTTATTGTTCACTTTCTATTTATTTGTAGCACCTCTCCAAGGTGACTGAAATTATCTCAAGGGTGGAGATCTTTGTTTATTTCCTAGCTTGTGGTATATCAGAGAAACTTAGGACTTGGAGCTCAGATAAGATCCAAGTTTAAGTGTTGCTTTCTTCACTCAGTAACTCCTTGATCTAGGGCAGTGATGGAGAATCTTTTAGAGCTTTCGATGGCAGCCTTCTGCAGCCATGGGTTTACCACCACTGACCTAGGGGAAGTGGCTAAACTTCTTTTTCAGCTTCATTTTGCTCATCTGTAAAATGGGAACAATACCTCCTAACTTCTGTTAAGGGCGTTAATCTACAAAAAGCTCTACAAATGCTGATTGTTCTTCTGTAAGATTACTCCACCATTATGACAGGTCCATAACTTTCTAGGCTGGGCATTTTTTTTGTTTAGGCAACCAATTTTTATCAAGCATGTGCACCATGTGTAGCATTTTTACCAAAGCCACACCATGCTATGTGTGTGGCTTTGTGCTGGAGACAGAGATATTCCACTCCACCCTGGCAAAAAAAAAAAAGGAGAAAAGCAAAGTAAAAACCCAGGCAAACAGACCTCAGTCCAGTGAGGGAAACAAACATTCATCTATAATTACAAATGAAAATGGGGATCTCACCATATGATGGATCTGAAGTGGATCTAGCCAAGTAAAGTCACACAAGTTGTAAGAATAAAGGATAGAACTCCCGACAACTCGTGTCCACATCCATGCTCTTCCACCCGTGCTGGGCCACAGCAGCCCATGTACCCACACCAACACTAATCCACGCTTCCCACTTACCCTGCCTGCAGCTGTCACTCTGAAAGTCAGTAACTCTGCCAACATCCGTCAAACACCTAGTCTCTGCCAAGTACCGTAAGAGACACCAAGGATATGGAAAAATCCAACAATGATTTGCCCCAAGTGAGGGTCACGCTTTGAGTCCCGAGGTATCACTGCTGCGGTATTCTCCTTGTTTTGCCTCTCTTCCTGGTGATAAATGACCTCTAGGCTCAGGCAAGTCTATCTGGTTACCACAAAGGAGACCTGCCCCACTCTGCACTCTCCCACCTAGATGTCTGGCCACTTGCTTTCTACAAGTCCCTTCATATCCCAGGGTTAGAACTACGGGGCAGGGTTCTTGGAGGGACTTGGGAGTTCTTCCAATGCTAGCCTGATTGAGCAAGTTCTCAAGAAAAGGGGGCAAAAAGGACCATACGCTGATATATCTACTCCCAACAGGCTCCTTATCAAAATTATGAGCAACCTGATACGGTGCCAGGACAGCTCTCTTGTCTCAGGCTCTTGCGTCCCACTCCCTGTCCTCTACACACAATGCTACGTCCTCACAGTCACACATACTTAAGAGGTAGGTGTGATTTTTGTTCTTACTTTACAGATGAGGAACTTGGGGTTCACAAGCAATGAACAGAGGTTTGCGATGCTTGTGATGCTACTTTTAGAGCAAATGATAGTAGCTTAGGAGTAGCGAGGTCAAGGGGTGAGATACAGGTGACTTGAGTACCTCCAAAGGATTCTACCATGAGCTCATGATCACGCGGCAGCCCTTCTCTCAGCATACTCTACGTGATGTATGCTTCCACTTGGACAAGACAATCTCCTCCTGAGGAGGGCAGGTACTAGTGACTCAGGGAAATTTACATGTAAAAATGTAAAGGGGTTTGTCCTTTGATAGTTCCGCTAGAGAATTTAGAGAAGTCAAGACAACTCATTTAATTGTAGCAACTCATTTCAACTGCCACCCTTCAAAGAGCATGTTGTTTGTTCATAGTTGAGTATTTACATATTTTTAGAATTGCCATATATAAAATGAGTGTTCTCTGTACCCTGTATTTCTAATATGTAAGTCACAGAAAGTGATACAAAAAGTAGTAATACAAGGATGACCAAAATTTCTAAGTGAGGTGTTTCAGCCTGCTGGAATCCCCCACCTATCAAATATACTTAGTCAAAGTCAGGGGCAGAAAGGGTAAAGCACACCCGCCTTTGGTATCAGCAGGCCTGGTCTGATTTCTGATGCTGCCATTTACTAGCTTTGTGGATTCATGCAGGTTAATTTGTCTGAGTTTCCTCAGCCAAAAAATGGGAACCTATCTCACAGGATGGTCATGGTGCTTTAATGAGCATTATTATGCCCTTGCGGGGACTTAGAGCCCTTAGGGTTGTCAATGCTTGCTTTACTTGCTGCGCTGGTAATTGGGGTAGTTATTAGCAAACTTCCCCTGCCCTTTTTTGGAATACAGTCATCCTTTGGTATCCATAGTGGATTAGTTCCATGTCCCCCACAATTACCAGAATCCTGGATGCTGAAGTCCCTTATATAAAACAGCATAGAATTTGCATCCAACATTTTTTTCTTATACATTAAATTATCTCTAGCTTACTTACAATAACTCCTGCAATGCAAATGTTATATAAGTAGTGGTTTATTGTATTGTTTAATAATGACAACGGGAAATCTGTACATGTTCAATACAAATGCAATTTTTTTCTGAATATTTTTATCTGCTGCTGATTGAACAAGCAGATGCAGAGCCCACACAGAAGCAGGACCAATGCATGTAGAAAATGAATTGACTCCTGCTGGTCTCAGAGCCCCATCTACGAAGCATTTAGTAAGCTTCACGGTATGCAACGTCTCATACCGATACTCCTAGTTATTTTTAACATAACACACTAAGTTTAATGTTCATTTTAACTGCCTACTCATAAGCATTTGTTTGGGGTTTTTTTTGGTTTTTTTTTTTTTTTGGTTTTTCTCCGGTACCGGGAACCAAACTCACGACCTTGCGCTTGCCAGGCAGGCGCTTTTGCCGCTGAGCTAAATCCCCAGCCCTCTCATAAGCATTTGTGCTTTGCTTGCAGTTAGAAAAACTAGGTTTTATGGCTGATAATTACTCTTATTACAGACTTCATGGTCCCAAATTCTGGATGGTTATTCATTTTTACCTTGATTTCTTTGGTAAGTTTTCTCCCTATGAAAATAACTGATAGTCATTGAACCAATGTTTCCTGAACACCTACTGGCAGGTGCATTGCTGGGTACTGGGTCAAGGCGGTGGGGGGCAGCGTTTTTGCCCCCACAAACCCAAGGAGCTTATCCTGCGGTTCTCACGTGGTCTCCAGATTGGCACAGTCAGCATCCTCTGTGGCCTTGTTAGAAATGTAAATTCTCAGGCCCCACTCCAGGCTGACTGAATCAGAAACTCTGGGGGTGAACCCCAGCTGTCTGTTTGCATAAGCCCTCTTCAAACAAAGATCCTCCTCATCAAATGTCAAAGCAACACATATGCCATGAGTTTATTGCGCTAAATCTGAAAGTAGCATTTGTCTTTCGAGGAAACGGAGGCCCAGTGGCCTAAGGCCACAGGAGAAGCTAATGGAGAAGTCGCTCTCTGCAAACCTAGGTCTCCCACCTCAAATGGCCAAATGTCTTTCTGCTGCTCTTCTGATGCTCTATTGCCTGTGTCTGAGGAGGGAGCTCATGGTTTGCCAGCCCAATCGACAAATATTAGTTTTCAAAGAACTAACAGAGACAAACAGGCTATGAAAACAAGGATCACTAACAAAAATAAAGATCTGATCTATCAAAACCACCCAGTAAACTAGCAGCAATAACCCAAACCTTTCACAAATATCCCAGTTCTGTTTATAAGATTAGAGATGGAGAAAACGGAAACAAATATAATGAAGATGTGACTGGAATAATATCTAGAAAAATGGAGTTTGAAGAAATGTTAGCTGTGGGTCACCATCTGTGGAGCATTTCAGATAATCTTTCTCCTTTTTTTCTTGATATTTTCCTGTATTTTCCCAATAACTAAATATTACTTTTCTAATCGGGGAAAGAGAGTAAAACTGTTTTTGGAAATGGTATGCCACTCACCATGAAAGTTTATTTTTTTATTTCTGTTCCTTTGCATCCAGCAGGACAGTGTGTATAGTAATTGTTTATGTCATGCCATATGTTATAATGAAAATGAAATTCAGGAAATATATTCCTCCCAGCTGGCCCTGAAAATGAAGAGGTTAAATGCATTCCTAGGTTCAAAGCACTGAGATTTAAGACAAGCTAAACTGTGCAGCTAAAGGGAAACTTAATCCCAGTATTGAGAGCTGGGAGAACGTCCCTTTTGAAAGACATTCATGTGACATACAGCTCCTTATTCATTATCTCCCTGACGTTTAACCCTTGGTACAAAATGGAACGTTCAGCAGTTCCTGGCACAGTCCTAGGAGTTCTGGGGATCCAAATGCATGGGACAAGGTCAGAGAGGTAAGATACAAAATGATACTACTTTCATCCCCCCTCCCCCAGATTTTGTCCTTGTGAGATGATAAGACATTTCAAGTTACTGGTAAATTCCACTGTCCAAAATATGCTTCTTTTTTTTTTCTTAAGAAGTATTTGCTCAGATATTTATGTCGGATACCTTATTCCATAAATCAAAAATAAATAGATAAATAAATAATAAATAGGTAAATGATAAATAAAAATGATCTAAAGAGACATTTCTGCCACAGAAGCACTGTCGTAATGTTTCACTTGATAAAACAAAAATGCTTCAAAGAAAAACCAGCATTGTTTTACTGAAGCTCTCAGCAGCATAAATTCAGCAAACGCTCACTGAAATTTCTTAAAGGAAACATGAAGTTAAGAGCCAATGAAATGAATGTGGAAAAGGAAATACCAGAAGCCATCTCCGTCATCAAAATAGCTCACAATAGCTGACATTTCTAGAATTTGCAGCCTCTTTCTGGAAAGGATGAGTTATTGGGAATAGACTCTATACATCTCATAATACATGAGATCGCCGCATCCAGACAACAATTTATCTTACCAGTGTCAGAGAAATCAGAAAGAATTCATCATTTTGGCTTTCCTGGTGGAGCAAGAAAGCATCAGTGTGAGACGGTGTCTCTCCAGGGTCTCCAGTTTCCCCCGTTCGCTACTTTCTTCCACGGTGTGGCCACACCCATTACAAAATCACTAAGTTAAGAATAAATAGACAACTCACAGAAAGTTTCCCACCAACAACCCAGTTCCCACTCCATATAATCCCCATCTGCCTAGGAAACTGTTCTACAGGAGCCTCGCTGACACCGTAGGAGGCTGAACCGGTGTCATTTCAGTGTAACAATTTCTGACCAACCACACACACACACACACACACACACACACACACACACACACGGAATGACAGCCCGTTCCCCAGCAGCGTGCTGGTACTTGCAAGCCCAATTGTTATTCTTCCACTTCTCATCCCAGATAGATAGATAGATAGACAGACAGACAGACAGATATGGATGGATGGACACACGGGTAGACAGACAGACAGACACCACTGCTGGGTCGTTCCTCATCCTGTTTTTGCAGTCTGACTACGGGACTGCGGAAAGGTATCGATCAGAACTTACCTGCAGATCCAACTCCCACACATGGATAAAAATGCCAAAGGAACAACCGCGAGCCAACAAGAGGCCTCCAAGTACCTTCCGTCTGTGGCACAGAAACGCCAATCGTCTCCAGGAAAGAAAACAAGGCGCCACCTCCCTCACATCAACGACGACGACAGAAACAGACGTAGGGCAGCTGTCATTCTGAGCACGAGCAAACCTTCCGGGCCACTCCGGAGCCCGCCTGGAAGTGGCGGTGCACAGGGTCCGAGCGGATACCTGCGGC